AGGGCGAGCCCGCGCCCCCCCCGGGTTTTGCGCGTGCACCCGGCACCACTCGGGTGCTCACCCGCTGCCGCCTCTGTGGGGGCCCAGCGCCGTCGCCAGGGCCAGGGTTCGCCTCGACTCCAAAGGCGAAAACCCACCCCCACCCCCAGTCCCGACTCCATCCCCGAGCCGGCGATTCAAGGGGCCGGGATTGGGGGTGGGGGTGGGTTTTCTCCATTCCTGGACCCCGAAAACCCACCCCCACCCCCAGTCCCGACTCCTTGAATCGCGGGTTCGGGGATGGAGTCGGGACTGGGGGTGGGGGGGGGTTTTCGCCTTCTCATCGACCAGACGCAAAAGCGACCTTTCGCCGGAGTGTGACGGGACCAGCGGGGCCCCCCGATTGCCGAACGCGATGCGGCAGTAGCGTCTTGCGCGCTCGTGTTCGGGCCCCCCCCGGCCGGCCCCCCAAAAGCCGCGCACCAAGGTCACTCTTACCCGGGGTCACTCTTGCGAGTAGTCGATCGCCTCGGAATGTCGGTCAGGACGCCCGGGAGAGGTCCAGGGAGTGGCGGTATCGGTATCTTTTCGGCATCGCCGAGGCATATTTCTATGCGCTGGCCCCACAGGGACGAAGCGAGCGCTCGCTCCGTGCTTTGCGTTTTCTGGCTACACCGCTCGCGAAACGACATGTTATGAGATGTTCTGCACTATATGGCTGGGTGGACTTGCGTCTCCAACAGAAGCGCTCGCTCAGTATTAGTAACTAGTATGTCTTCCTGCGTTGTCTTTCTGCGTCCCATCCTGCCAGGGCTCGTTTCGATTCCTCCGATTCGATTCGACTCGATTTCGCTGGCTTCCGATCTCGATCCAGTTCGACTTCGGATTCCGAATCTGAGCTCCGCTTTCTCAACGGTGGCCTGCTAGCCTGCCGATCCGTGCCGATTCGATTCCTCCCGACTTGGCCGCCGCTCTCCGCCGCCCCGATTCCCTTCCATCGCCGATCCGCCTGCTCGACTGGCGTCGGGGTCTCTCCCGCCCTCGTGCCCCATCCCACCCAGTCAGGAGGGAAAGAAGCACACAGGCACAATTCATCGTCGATCCCCCAGAAAATGTAAGAGAATGTGGGAAGTGGGGGGGAAGACGAAAACCCCAGGAGTATGGGAAAATATGGGGAATGTGTTCATTTGTGTGTATTTATGTCTGTGTCCTTGGGCCCCTTCACACCCAGGACTGGGAGGGGATGAAGGAGATTTACGCCAGGGCCAGGGAGCTGACGGGCATGCACGTGATGACGGAGGACGGGCCGCTGGACATGCGGAACCCGTGGGACCCGCCGCCGCCGCCGGAGGAGCCCGCACGGGGGGCCCGGGAAGCGCTGGCCGCCGGCCGCGCGGCGGACTGCCTCCAAGCAGGCGATGTGCGAGCATGGATCTCAAGGCGGCGTGGGATCAGCGACGGGTCCCATTTCCATGGGAGAGCGCGGACGTCCGCCGCCGAACGCGGCGGCCCCGGCCGCTTTTTTTCCGGAGGGCGCCTCCCCCGATCCATGGGTTTGGCGACCGCGCGCCAGGTCCATGTACTGCTGGTCCACGTTGGCGCGCCCCCGATTCGACGAGCCGAAATCCTTCACATCAGTAATTTTGGGACTCGGAGCCCACAGGGCGGTTTTTCATGTTTTCCATTCGACGTTCCATGAAGCCCGATGTCATCCCGAGGCTGCGCGTCGAACGTTTTCGATGGCGCGTCGCGTTATGCGATGTCACGTGCGTTGGGGTCGTCAAAGGCTTGCGTGCTTGTTGCGGATCGGTTGATGTGGGCTGGGGTTTCTCAGGATTGTACATTTGCTTTGCGCTGGGGCGGTTTCGACCCCCATCCCTGGCTGATCCACCCCGCGGGTAACGTCGCAGGAAGAGTTCGATCATTTCGTTCGTAGTGCCAGCGATGCTGTCGCGGACATTGACCGCGCCACGGGGGGGGGTCGTCCAGAAATTTCCTACCATATTGCAGTGTTGGTTCTTCGTTTTGAAGAGACACCGCCCCGCGTCATTCCTTCCGGCCCCCTCCCTCGTCCTCCCTCTTCGCGTATCTGCCCCTGCTCTCCGCGTGTCCCCGTCGTCATCGTCCATCGTCATCGTCGCCATCACCATCATCATCAGCATCATCAGAATTCTCGTCGTCTCCATCATCAATACCACCACCATCCTCATCAACATCATCAAAACGCCCCCTTGTTCCCCCGCGTCTCTGCTTCGCCATATCCCCCGCAAGTCTCGTGGCCTTGTGAGGTGCTCCACCGAAGGCCCCATCGGCAGGGTCCTTAGTGCGCCGCCCAGCCCATGTCGGCACGCCCCTCAGACGCTTCGTGTCCCCATGAGGAGCTCATCGGAGGTCCCGGCGGCAAGGTCCACATGCCGTCGCCCAGGCCACATTGATGACACCCTCAAACATTTCGTGCCCCCATAGGCAGCTCCACCAAAAAAAGGTCCCAGCGGCAGGTTTCCCAGGCCGCCGCCCAGCATATTTCGGCATACGTTTCACACGCTTCGTGGCCCCACGGGGAGCTACACCGACGGCCCCACACGCAAGGGCCCACAGGCCGCCGCCCAACCCATTCCGTCATACGCTCGGAAGCTTCGTGGCCCCATTGGGGAGCACCCCCGATGGCCCAAGCGACAGGGTCCACATGCCGTCGCCCAGCCCATGTCGTCCACGAGTGGCGCCCAGCACGGCTCCAAGAGCGCCCCAAGAGGCGCCGAGTAAGTTGCACCCTCATGCAAATAGTTTTTGTCACTCGTGGGTGTCCTCTTGGGGCCCTCTTGGAGCATTCTTGGGGCCCTCTGGGAGCGTTCTTGGGGCCTTCCCGGGGCCCCAGTGGGCCTTCGGAGGGCCCCGAGAACGTTCCCCGAGGGCCCCAAGAGGTACCCCCCAAAGTGGTACAAAGAATTCGCGCGAACGTGCAATCTGTTGTAGGCCTTTCGGGGCCCTCTGGGAGCTCTCTTGGGGCCCCCATTGGTGGCGCCTTGGGGCCTTGGGATGGCTCCAAGAGGCTTCGGGATTGCCCCAGACCGCCACAAGACAGCTCCGAGACGGCCGTCGAGCACCACGGGTGAAAGCAAGTGAGGCTAGGGAACAGGGCCTCTGGTAAGCCGCCACTGCGCCCCCTGGACTACCCAGACAGCGAGGGGACCTGAAACGCCCTGGGGCTCCAGGGGCCCCAGATTAGTGAAGTGAAGGTTTTTGCCATGCAAGCACCCCGAAATTCTTCACTTCACTAAACCGGACCCAGGACGAACTCGCTACGCTCCAGTCCCGCGGGAGATCCGAGACTCCCGCCGCCGCCCGGGGACGTTGCTGCATTGCGGTGCTCTGGTCACTGTTAATGGCTTCCGCGGGCTGCAGCGGCTCACTTCCATGACTACCCCGACTCACGAATCCAGTGGTTGGTCTGGCTCTATGGGTTGGTTTCGTTGTGTCGGTTGATTTTATGCTTGGTTGGCGGTCGGTGGATTTCGCGTTGTTCATTGGTGTCGTGAAGTGATTTGTCGTTTGGTTGGTCAGTGCCGTTTTGTTGATTCGTGCCGTTTTGTTGGTTGGTGTCGTTTTGTTGGTTGGTGTCGTTTTGTTGCTTGGTGTCGTTTTGTTGCTTGGTGTCCTTTTGTTGGCCGGTGTCGATTTGTTGGTTTGTTGGTTGGTGTCGGTTTGTTGGTTGGTGTCGTTTTGTTGCTTGGCGTCGTCCTGGCGGCGTGGCCGATAATCGGCGGCCTGCAATGGCGCCAGGATTTGTTTCGGGCCAGCCTTGATCGCCCTCATCATTCTCATATTCGTCAGCGTCAGCACTCGTCGCCCCCATCCGCGCACACATGCGGCCCTGGTACGGCTCTCACGCGGCCCTGCGAAGGCCTTCACTGTGCTCCCCAAAGCTTTCTGAGGGGCCCCCCAGAGGCCCCAAGAGGGCACTGGAAATTGTCGCTTCCAACTCCGCCAGGCGGAGGTCAACAAGGGTCTCACTGGTGCACTTCCAGGAATCGTCGTTCGATCCTCTTGGGGCCCTCCTGGGGCCTTCTGGAGCCGTCTTGGAAGCTCCGAGCGGCTCCATGAAGGCGCCGGGCGATATCGCTTCCAATTCCGCCAGGTGGAGTTAGACCAGGGGCTCACTGAGGCCCCTTTTTGCGCCCTCCTCTGCCTTTGAAAAAGCCCCGATGGGGTTCTTCAGTGCCGTCTTAGGGCCCCTAAGAGGCCTCCAGCAGGGTATTGAAGTTATCGCTTCCAACTCCGCCACGCGGAGTTGAACCCAGGGCGGCTCTCTATGGCCCTTTCGGGGCCTTCTTAGAGCTTTTCTGAGGCCCTAAGTGGGCCCTGGGAGGTGTCATTTTCACGGGCGTTGAAAGTGACACCGCGGAGGGCCCTCTTGGGCCCTTCTTGGGGCCTCTCTTGGGTCCCTCTGGGAGCCCTCTTGGTGCCGCCCTGGGGCCTTCTCGGGGCCTTCTTGGGGCCTTTCTGGTGCTCTTTAAGTGGGCCCTGGGAGGTGTCACTTTCACGGGCGCTGACAGTGACACATCGAAGAGCCCGCTTTCCCTCGTAGCGCTGCCCGTGGCCGGGGCATTGTGCAGCGCATCCCTCGTCGAACGTATTTTGTCGGACGCGTGGTCGAATTCCGCCAGTTCGGTCGAGATGGTGGTCAAACGGTTCGGTTGCAATGTAGCCATGCGGATCTGAGCTTACCATTTCTTGCCATTTTGGCGGGGATCGCAGGAGCGTTTGTGTTGTGATCAACTGTGCTCGATCTATCCAACGGCAGCGTTTCATCCCAATATATTATTTGGAAAAAAGTCAGCAGGGGCCAAATTGATGATGTGAAGCAACATAGGTCTCGTACCGATGCGATCTGGGTCGGTGATTCAGAGGTGGGGTCCTGAGGGATGGGCCCAGCAGAGGGCCCCGAGGGCGATGCCTACGAGGAAAACACCGATGAGCAAGGAGCCCGATGGGCCTGTGCAGCCACCGATGGAGCCTGCTCCTGCCGAGCACACCCGCTTCTCGCCAGGGCCGGTTTCGGAACACTCCATGTCCCGGACCACCGGCTCAACTACTCTGCACAGAACACGGGCACAGAAAGCACAAACGCTGGCCATGCTTTCGGCGGTTCAAAGATGGGGTCCTGAGGGATGGGGTCCTGAGGACGAGGTGCCTCAGACAACGTAGATCCACCCTTGAATCCCCTCCTATCCTTAGGCCCCCATCCCTCAGGACCCCATCTTTCAACCGCCGACTGGGGGGAAGGGCGATTCCCTGATTCCGGTGGTGGCCCAAGCCTGCAGGCCCCAAGGGGCTGGCCTCGGACCGCCCCAGGAGATTTCGAAGGTATCCCCGTCGGCTCCCGGGTTTCTTCTCGCCTCGGGATGCTCTCCTGCAGCTACAGTCGCGGGTGAGGAGGTGCCGACCCTGCCATATTCCCTAGCGTCCTGTGATTCGCGACCCGTGCCCTCTCAATTCCTATGGCAATGTGGCCCTCGGAGGGGTCTTGGTAGGGCGACGAGATTCATGCATATACACTGCTCCCTGGTCACGCCCATCCTTAACCCGGCAGCGGCGTGTACGCCACGCCCTCCTGGCTTGGCCAGGAGGGCGTATACACAGCTGCTGGCTTCAGAAAGGGCCTGGCTAGGGATCAGTTGATCTGTATAGGTCTCTCACCCTTTTTGTGTCCTCTTGTCGCTCTACTTGTGTCCTCTCGCGTGTCCTCTCCCATCTGGAGGGTTTCTCCGAAGGACTTAGGCGACTCGTCCTCCTCCTCCTCCTCCTCCTCCTCCTCCTGGTGTCGCCTCCGGCCCCATGGGAAACCGTGCACTCCCGTCGAGCTCGAGGGTGCGCCTCGTCGAAGGCGCTCCAGAAGGGGTTGCACAGCTCGCTCCAGCCGGCCGCTGGAGTTTCCCGAACTGTGGCCTGGCCCAGCGGCGCCCTTTTTTGTTTCTGTTTGCTATTTATGTATATGTATACATATATACACATACACACATACATATATATGTTCGCGATCATCAATATATATATATATATATATATATATATAAACACATATACAACATATAATAGATGAGGCAGCGCCCTGCGTTCCTTCCTTCCTTCCTTCCTCCCTTCCTCCCCTCCACTTCCTCCTCCTCCTCCTCCTCCTCCTCTCCTCTCCTCCTCCTCTCTTCCTCCCTTCATTACTTCCTTTCAAAGGAAACGACATAATTATAAGCTTGTGGCGCTACCCGCGGATTTCTTGGGTCGGCGTTGGGCCCCCCCCCGGCGGCGCCTCGGGCGCCGCCCCTGGCGCGCGGAGCGCGCCAGGGATGGGGTCTGGCGCAGATCCAAGACATCCGCGCGGAGCGCCAAAAGTTGATGTTTATGGCGTTTTTTCTTCTATCCTTCCTTCCTTCCTTCCTTCCTTCCTTCCTTCCTTCCTTCCTTCCTTCCTTCCTTCCTTCCTTCCCCTCCTCCTCCTTCTCCTCCGCGTCCTCCCACGCCTCCCTCATCCGTTAGCCTGACCAAGCACCCATTTCGGCACCCCCCTGACCAGGCCCCAGTGGCAGTGTTCACGTGCGTCCCTGCGACTCATTTCGGCGCACCCCTCAAACGGGTCGTGGCCCCATAGGGAGCTCCACCGAAGTCATTTCGGCACAACCCTCACACGGTTCGTGGTTTCATAGGGAGCTCCACCGAAGGCCCCAGTGGCAGGGTTTACATGTGTCCCCGCGGCTCATTTCGGCACACCCCTCGCATAGTTCGTGGCCCCATAGTAGGGAGCTCCACCGAAGGCCCCACTGCCACCGTCCACATGCGTCCCCGCGATTCATTTCGGCGCACCCCTCACACGGTTCGTGGCCCCATAGGGTGCTCCACCGAAGGCCCCAGTGGAAGGCTTGCATGCGTCCCCACGACCCATTTCGAGGAAGAGTTGCTTGCGTGACCCCTGGAACTTCACGGCGCAAGGCACAGGGCTTTGGACACCGCGGGCCCCCTTTCTCCGTCTCATCTCCCTCGCGGTACTCTCAGCTGCATATGATCGGGTCCTTCGTCAGGCTCATTGATTTGTTGTTGTTGTTGCTGCTGTTGCTGTTGTTGTTGTTGTTGTTGTTGTTGTTGTTGTTGTTGTTGTTGTTGTTGTTGTTGCTGCTGCTGCTGCTGCTGCTGCTGCTGCTGCTGCTGCTGCTGTGTGTATATCTAAATTTGTTGAATCCTGCCCGCCTCTCGTAGATCTCGGCCTTCCATGGGGGCCCAGGGCCATCCAAAGTGGGCCCAGGGCGAGCAAGCTGCCCCCCGGGGAAGGGTGGAACGTCGCCCCGCTGGATGTTCCAGGCCGCGGCCACGACGGCGATGCGGCCCGATGTGCTCGCACGGCGCCGCCGTGCATCGTGGCTCGGGCGATCCTACTCTTAAGTCGGGCCTGTCCCTCTACAGTAGTCTGGGGACAATGTTTGACCATGTTTGCATATGTTTTGAATTGTTTTCGACTGCTTATTATTTTTCGCCCCAAGTCCCCCGGACATGCCCGACCTAATCCTACTCGATTCCGAAGCCGTGCCGATGTGGCGAGTCTCGACCCAGTCCGGCGCATCGATTGGGAGCGCACACCCGCAGGGTGCTGCGCGGGCACAAATCGAAGGTCGGCCGACGGGCCCCGCGGCGCCGCGGCGCGTGCGACGCGCGACGCATGCTGCCCGACCGCAGGGCGCGCCGCCCGCGCTCGGGGGTTGTTGCTTCTGTGTTGGCTTGCGCGGGCGCGCCGCGGGGGCTCGCGCAGGCGCGCCGCGGGGATCGCGCCGGGGCGGGTCGCGGCGCGCCCTGGCGCCGTCTGCTTCGCAGGTATTGATTTGATTGTTTCGCGCCGCGCGCGCGGGGCGCGCGCCCGCGGCGCGGGCCCGTCGGCCGTTCTGCCGCCGCCGCCGCGGCGTTGGTCGGGTCCTGGGGGCGGGCGCTTGCTTTTCCTCGGGGCTCGGTCGGCTGTTGGGCGCGGTTGTCTCCGCTCCTTGTCGCCTCGGCTGGTCTCGGCTCGTTTTTTCTGCGCTTGGGGCGGGGGTCTTGGTTCGCGCCGCCCCTGCCTGCTCGTCGTCGTGCTCGGGCGCCCGTCGTGGGCGGGGTCGTCGTCGCGTCGCGGTCGCCGTCGCGCCGTTCGTCTGGGCCGCCCCTGTCGTGGCCGTGTCGTCGTGCTGCCTGCCTCTGCTGGTTTGCCGCCGTCGCTGCCGCGCCGTCTTCGCTGCCGCCGTCGCCGCCGCTGCGTGGGTTGGGTCCTGGGGGCCTGCGCGTGCTTCTCCTTGGGGCTCGTTCGGCCGCTGGGCGCGGTGTTCCCCGCTCCTCGTCGCCACGGCTGGTCTCGGCTCGTTTTCCGCGCTCGGCGCGGTGTCCTGGGTCGGCGCCGCCCCCGCTCGCTCGTCGTCGTGTCCTGTCGTCCTTTGTCTGGCTGCGTGCCGCCTTCCGGGCGGTTCGGCGTGTTCTGCCACGCGTTCCGCCTGCTTTCCTCGCTTCGCGCGCGTGGTGCGCGTGCTCGCCGTGGGTGCTGGTGCGTGGGTGTGTTTTCTCCGCTGGACGCGCCCTACGCCTGGGCGGCTTGGCCGCGCGCCGGCCAGTTCCGGCTGTTGCGTCCCGCCTGTGGGCGCCGTTAGCGCGGTGGATTCCGCGCGTTGGCTACGTCGCGCTCCTGGCGCACGGGCACATGCGCCCCACACGGGGGCGACGCGGCTTGCGGGTACCCACGCCAGGGCTACCCAACCGGTGCTACAAACGCACCTTCATCTGGGCGACCCGAACTAGGGCGACCCAGCAGCGCGACCAATGCGCTACATACAGGCGACCCGAACAAGGGCGACCTGTAGTTGGGCTACCCGCACTAGGGAGTCCCAACGGTGCTACAAACGCACCACAGTCTGGGCGAACCGAACTGGGGCGACCCAGCAGCGCGACCAATGCGCCGCATACAGGCGACCCGAACAAGGGCGACCTGTAGTTGGGCTACCCGCACTAGCGAGTCCCAACGCTACAAAAAACGCACCGTCATCTGGGCGACCCGAACTAGGGCGTCCCAGCAGCGCGACCAATGCGCTACATACAGGCGACCCGAACAAGGGCGACCTGTAGTTGGGCTACCCGAACTAGGGAGTCCCAATGGTGCTACAAATGCACCAGCACCTGGGCGACCCAAATTGGGCGACCCAGGTGCGCAACAGTCGCACTTGACAGGCGACCCGCACAAGGGCGACCTGGAGTTGGGCCACTCGCTCGTGGGTGACCCCAACGGTGCCGCGTACGCACCCGCACGCTGGCGTCCCGCGCCAGTAATTTACCTGCTAGCGCCCTCGCGTCTGGCGCGCGTGCTTCTGTCCTACCGGGACAGTACGTGTGTGTAGCCCCAAAGTTGGGCTGGTGTCGGTGCTCGCGCGTTCTCCTCGTCCCGTGCCTTGCGCGCGCGCGCGTGCGCGTGTCTCGGGGACGCCCCGGGCGATCTCCGTATTCCGTAGCCGTCTCGCTCAGGCGGATTTTTTCGGGCTTCGCGACAAGCGCATCTGCTGTTCAGCTCGCGCCGTCACTGCCATGCCCAGCACAGCGTTGCTGACCTTCCTCGAGTCTGGCGTCGACCGCCGCGCAAAGCGCGACCGGACTTGGCTGCGGCCGGTGGTCGAGGTGCTTTCAACCAACGGGATCGAATGCCCTGAGGACATGGTCAAGCTCAATGTCAGAGCGGCGACGTTCGATCTAAAGGATCTGATCGAGGGCAAGGTGGCCTTCTTGGAGCGCGCCGTCACCAAGGCGACCCAGGCGGCCGCGCAGAAGGCGACGGCCGAGGCGGCTGCAGCTGGCATCTCCCAGGATTCCGTGAGCGCCTTCCTGCAGGCGCTCCAGGGCGGCCGCAAGCCCGCCGCCCACGTGAATATCGCCGCGGGGCTGGGCAGAGTCTTATAGATCACCCAAGGAAGGGCTACCCTAGGGCTACCCCTAGGGCCTACCCCTAGGGCTACCCTAGGGCTACCCTAGGGCCTAC